GACTGAGTACGTGACTGGACGTAAGCGGAGTATGCAGGCAGTTTCAATGAACTTTGTCTGACAGACCCTGCCAAAAGATATCTTATCATAGCTCAGCATATGTTTGCTTGTGAACTAGTTTGTGTAACCCTTCTGCCCATCAGAGTTGGCAGCAACAAGGGCTGGGTTGAGTATCTAGGGGTTCCATTCCAATAACACAACGCAAAACCAGCTCGAGGCCCATCCACTGACCTGGGACAAATATATACCACACCCCCGGGAGCCTCTAAGAGGCAATACTTCCCCTCTCGCAAGCACAGAGTCTGAGTGTAGCAAAAGCCTTTTAATAACAGAGAGAAACAATGTGGCATTATGTTGGGAAAATACCACCAACAGGATTCATAACACAACTCATGAGCCAGAACTCACCCCAAGCAAATTGGGCCATGTCCTTTCCCTTTGGTTCTTGAGTCCAGCAACCCAAAAGTCACCCAAAGTCCCAAAAGTCCAACAACCCAGAAGTCTCTGTCCCTGGTCAGTGCAGCCCCAGAGTTCAAAAGTTTATCTGCAAAGTTTTACCTCCCAACCTGGGTAGAAATAGGGGAGGCTAAGGGGTACTTTATGTGGTCCAAAGCCGACTGCCCAACCGCTCCATGGGGCTCCGCTCCACCAGCTGCCCCACAAATTGTTCTGCTCCTCCAGCCATCCTGCAAACTGCTCCACAATATATCTTCAGCCCCCCCCCACTACTTAACACAACACTCAGTGATTTCAGTTCTTAGTAATTTTATCTCTTTAGTGATTTCAGCTTGTAGTAGGGGAACCTCAGTGCTGGTACACCATTGGCCCAAAGTGAATTCAGCTCAGCAGCCTGTAACTAGACTCATAGTGGAATCAAAACTAGCTCTGATATTCTACCATAGAGAGAGAAGAAGGTGTAATTAGCATATAGGGCCCTCATCAGGGGGCCCATACTACCTAATATTAATACCTATCACACAGCCTCTCTCAATTCACTGGGTTTTGGAACCCATGACCCTTGCCTAGTGAGTGCTGCTTAGTTGATGGTGAGTCCCTCCGTCATAACAAAAGGCCAAGTACAATTCCACTGTCCTTGATTCACATAATCAGAATAATAACAGTTTATTCTTCCTGCCCCAATAACAGAGAAACTGGGGTTCCTACAACAGCCAAAGTGACCATCTAGGCGGGGTGGGTGTGCCTATGCAAATGAGATCAGTCCCTGAAGTTATTTTCCATAACCCACCACGACTCACCATCAGATGTCAGGGTAGAGCTCATCCTGACTCTGCTTACATTTGTAGAACAAGCATAAATCATACACGTAAGAATATAACCAGCTGTTGACCCCATGTAACTCTGAGATAAGCGCGGAGAACATAGCACTGCAGAGGACTCCCCCCGCAGTGGAGTCCTGCCTGGTCAGCTGTCCCGAATGGCCAGAGTCCCCTGCAGCCCCTCCGCGCGTCCTAGGGGCTCCCCGCGCAGATTGGCGTGTAAGTTCTTCCTTCCATAAAGCGTAGTTTACTATTCTTAGGCCTGAGCATCCTCCTTTTGCTGGTATCTCATCCCCCGCCCTTGCGGGCACAGGAAGGGTGCCCCATAGAGTCCCCCACTAGCTCTGCTGTTGATTATGCTTCAGGCTGTGAGCAGGTGGCAATTTACAGGAGTTCGTTCTACAGGCATCAGCATGCATGGTGATTGTAAGCACCATGAGGTGCACTGCTCTGCAGGGGTGTCTCCTTCCACACCCACCCTCAGCCAGCATCTGCTGCCCTAGCTCCTGCTGCCGGCGAGAACATGGAACCTCAAATGGCTTCAAAGCAAAACATGCCATTCAGTGGGGTAGGGCTGAGGTGTAAAGCCCAAGAGCAATTAGAGACTACGCAACTGGAAGAGCCTTACTAAGACAAGTGGGGGAGAGGAGACAAATGGTACAGAAGTAGCCCCTCCCCCTGCTAGTTCTCTCTGTGAAAGTTTTCCCTCTTATAGGAACTTTTTCCCAGCATGCTGTTCTGGGACTGGCCCTTTAAATTGGGCAGAGACAAGCTGCTCTAGCCCTAAAGAGGCCATTTTTCAAGGGACTACTGCTGGCTGCATTTCCCCTTCTTCTCCAGCTGGGAAGTAAGTGCCTGTTAAGTTTTCCTCTGCTTTTCCTAAAGGCGTGGGGTCCTCTCATACAAGGTACCTCTGTGGGCAGTTGCAGCAAGGCTGTATTTTGGTGACCTTCAGCATGCTTCTGGGGCTCAGTGGAAAGGCTTGGCTTTTCAAAGGTACATTGTGAGCTGGACGCTGCCTCGCCCAGAACAGAGCTTGTTGCCGTGTGGGTGTATCCTATGTAAGAGTTTGATGGTGTTGGCCACCATTATAAAGCAATGACTACTGTAAAATTCCCATGTGATAAGTGTGTTCTCATGATGCAGGTGAGACCACAAGGCCCGTGAGGTAAAACTAAGCAGCTTTTTTCTTACTGGGAATGTGATACTCTGTAGTTAGCGTGGAAAAGGCGCTCTCAGGAGCGTGCGTGTGGAGATAGAGGGTTAGATCTACTACTATTTATATTACTGCAGTGACTAGGAGCCACAGGCCAGGACCCAAACAGAACAAAAAGGCAGCCCTAAAGAGTGACAGACTAAGTGACAACAGATGGGATACCGACAGACTGGGTAGTACAAGGAAAGAAGACAACATGGCCCAGCTAGATCGGACAGACACAGGGTTGGGGGAAGGAGTCGAACACACAAGTAGATGGAACAATGTAGTGGTGGTGGCATTTGCAGTGGGGGGGAGGGGTGTTACTTAGTAGGGGATCTGCTAAAAGGAAAGGTAAGGGGGAGAGAGCGGGGGAGGAAGGGCAGGTGTGGAGTGAAGCTGAGGTAAAAAGGCAGGGAGGAAGGAGGGTTGCGCAATCAGCAAAGGGCAGAGAACAGGGTAGCATCACCAGAGGTCCTGCCTCCAACTGCTTCTGTTCCTACCAGCTGGAATTTCTGGCTGCCTGGATCCTAGTGCCCTCAGAGTGGCGGTGTCTTCCTTGCACAATTCTGGGTCCAGGAAGGTTCTGGCAGAGGGGTGGTCCTGGCCCCCTTCTACCCTCTCCCTGGCAGCAGGAGTCTCTGGCTGTCAAAGCCATAGCTGAGGCTGCAAACCAATTCCAGGGATAATCCTATGTTCACACACGTTATTTTCTGAAACGATCACCCGTAGGTTTGAGGAAAATCCCATAAGCTGCAACGAATTCTGCAGCTCAATGTTTTTCCTTTTTTAAAAGGATTGTTACCCACTTCACCTAGTATACAAACACTGCAGCCTTGGAACATGTAAATAGTTCTGCCAGTGGCCTTGCATCTGCATCTAAGCTTGAGAAACAATTAGTTGGCTGTTTATGGTTATGAATGATTGAAAGTCAGCTGGGAATGCACAGGGAAGAATTGTATTAATCCTGAGATGCTATGCTAGGATTCACTGCTTCTGTCTATGCGGCCTGGTATTTGTGGGGTTGGTAGGGTTGCCAATTTTGGTGGGATGGATTCCTGGCAGTTTTATCACATGACATAATTTTTAATTAAAGATTAATCTTTAATTCCTGGAGATTCCTGGAGGGTTGGCAACCATAGGGAGTGGAGGGGTAGAACATTTGCCAGTGTCTGATTTAAGCGTGTACACACCTTAGGAACACTGAGCCCTCCTGAAGAACTAACCCTAGGAGAGGAGATGGGAGAAAAAAAGCCATGAGGCCCTAGTCATGGATTTTCCCACCCATCAGGAGAGGGGTAGGGAGGCTGTTCAGGGTTCTCCTGGTGGCATGAGCCACACACACACACCTCAGCCCCAAACTCTGCAGGTCCTGAGTACTTCCCTGACTAGGGATTCTGGTTCCTCTCCTCTGCTCTCTGATTGAATTCTCCCCTCCCTGTCTCCTGCGCAGAGAGGAACAATATGGACCTTAAGATGGCTGACGTGAATTTGCTACTTCATAGCAAGTCGGGATGTGCACCTCTCTCCTTTTCAAAGAAACTTGATACACTAAGGTGTAAAGGTTGCATAGTTAAAATAAGTCAAGAAATCCAGAAGTGACGTTTCCTACTGCATGTGAACTTGGCCTCGCTGTACATATGTGGTATTTTTAGAGCTGTGTTAAATATCTGCAATAAACTAGTATCCATGGCCAATGTAGCCAGATTAACAGACATCAGGGGATCTTAATTCCTGCATCTTCTGACTTTGAACTCTGCATCTGCAACATTTGCATTAACAAAGCTAATTTTCAAGGTAATCAACACTGGCAAAAAAAAAAATTAAAACTTATTACTATCCCCACAGTGTTCGAACTGCTGAGAATTCCTGGTGCTCATTCGACAGTAAATATTGTGAGGTATAAAACATCTAAAGCAACTGAATTACATGGGAACATGTTATCTGAATATAATTGAGCTTGCGCCTGAACTAACCAGGGTGGTTTTTTATAAAAACACATTTACAATCATCTGATCAAATGTTAGCTCAATGCAATTACAAAAAGGGCAGAGAATTAAGTCTGAATATTGCTTACTAGAAATTATAACTTTTGTCCTTAGTGCTACTTCAGTGACGTTGCTCTTGGGTGACTTGTAAAGTGGTGATTTTTTCCCACTGCCCATATAAGTTGTGATGGCTTTTTTTCTTTTTCCCTTGAGGATTTCTGAGGGGTTCTGCTGATGTGCAGGATTTTTTTTAATCTTTCCCAGTCTGATAGACTGTGGCATTCCAAGACAATGATAACATCGACTGAGTGATTCCACTTCTCTCCACCTGTCTAATGCTCAGCGTCATTGTTCTAGGCAGGCTGCTCAGTTCTATTATTTTGGACTTCCTTCTTTGTTTTGAGTGATTTAGGAGACAGTCTGTCTTCTGGATCAGTATGTGTCTAAGTACACATCTACACAAAAATAGTTACAGATCTTTTTGTCGAAGGTCGATGTGCAATGCTATGTTTTACATCAAAATTAAGATTAGAAAAAGAACCAGTAGCCAAAATACATTTTATTAAATTAACTTTCAGTCCATTTGATAAAATACAAGCTTCATGTATTACCAGTTTGTTTACAACTGTTTTGTAGAAATATAGTAAATTAAGAAAACAAACTGAGTAGGCAGTATGTGTTGGGGTTTTTTTGCTAATAGTAAAATCCAAGAGTGAAATTAACTGAACTGTTAAAAACTTTATAAACAGATTAATCAAGCAGACTATACATTTTTTTTCTTAGAAACATTTAACATGCAAAACATTTAGTGCAGTTTGAATATTTCAGTCAGTTTCCAGAAAAAATTATGATTCCCCCCCCCACCCCAAAATGAGATAGATACATTTTTTTTTCTGCAAGTACTGATGTTAAATACTGCAGATTCATCTGGCAATAAGTCCCAACATAAAATCTGAAGAGTGCAAGAAATTTCATCCCCCATCCCAAAGAAACTGACATTAATGGGCATATTATCTTTACTCACGGTTGAGTCTTAGTGGCTCAATCGTACCAGCTTTAATGGAACCGGCTCCATTAAATTCCTATCTAATGCAATGTACGTTCTAGATACATTTCAAATATAGTCCACCAGCCTCCAGTTCAAGAGTCGTTCTTATGGAGATGATTGGCAATGTGACTGTGTTTGTATAGTCCAAAGGATCACTAAACCAGCCTTTGACTTGAGCTGGGAAAATGTTGAGAGAAAATTTCTGTAACTTCCCATTTTATCAAAGTCAGTTTCGTTGCAGATGAATGAATAACTGATTACTGGTCAAGTCTGAGGGTAACATTTCCTTTCATTCTAATAGACAAATTTCTAACACACAAACTATAACTTTTTTCTATATGACATTTTTGAAAGAAAATTAGGAAAAATGTTAAATTAGAAATAGATTAACTATATTGCATAAACCCTTTAGATAAAAACTCTAAGCTTATCACAATCTAGATGAACGAGCACTAGGAAAGGGTTATTAAAACAGAATGAGTAAAAGTTAATTCCACATCAGTTATCTTTTAAAAAAAAAGGTAATCTTTAGAATAATTAAATTTAAAATGGTCCATTTTTAAAAATGAAGGTGTGAATTACATTCTACATTCTGCTTTTTTTTAAAATAGCGTATCCATATAACATTCATCTCTGGTTATTTTTAGCACTAGCATTACCAATATACAGGCAATAATTCAGTAGTTTCAAGGCAATATATTTTCCATCTTGCATAAGCAAATAGTATTTAATAAAAGTTTAAGCATATCCCTTTATTAAAGAATCTTCAGATTCCATTATGCAAAATCCATGTACACTATATACATATACCTTAAGCATGACCATTACAAATTACATCCATAAATATTTTAGATTCTGGCCCATACAATCCACAGTAGTTATCTGAGCTGACCTAATGAGTTTGCTGTCAGACAAGAGCCAAGTTGAGGCATTGTTTTTCAGGACTTTCTTGATTCTCTCTCATGCTATTGTTTGTTCTTTAGAAATTCAAACTACACCTAAGGTGGCTTTCCAACTTTGAAATATTCAGCTTTCAGCCACGAAGCCCTAGTGACTTTTTGTCTGATTTTTTTTTTCAGCGTATTATCATGCCAAAAAACTTCTAAAACACCACTGAAATCCATGCCAGCCACGGAAGTTATACTATTTGGTGTAGTATTTCCATGTATGTGTGAGATGCTTTCTTGTTTATTTCAAACTTCAAAAAAATAAAAACAAGTTCAAAAGTCAGCTTGGATCATTCACCATCTCTTTCACTGACCTACTGTAGACGGGTCTGTTAAATAGCACTGGTTTTGGTTTTAGTTATAATTTCCATTTGTGATTTTTCCCCCCCACAAATGCAGCTAACTGTAGGGGCATTGTCTGCAATGCTGTCTTTGCTGCCCAAAGTCAATCTCCTAATGTGATACCAGCTGGCATAGTAATGAGCCTGTTTCTACAAAAACTAGGTCATCCCTTGCAGTCTGTTTTGCCAGTTCCAAATCAAGTGCTTCGTGATTTGTGTATTCACAGATATTATGTATATATCATTACTCACTGTAGCTGCTTTTGATAATATTGTTTCTTTGATCTTAACACCCTGCATGAAAGTTGCATAGCAGGACATTTTTACAAACAACCCACATTTAAGCTGCCTGGACGTGAACCAGATCCAGGTTCACACGTTGAGGATACGAGAGGGAGCCTGGAAAACCGCAGAAGGGTTGCGGGAAAACTTGGTCTTCGCTTCTGGAATCTAAAAGGGGACATAATATGCATTAGCACCACTTCTGGGTAAAGTAATCATGTTGGTTCTTGGCCCAAATGTGTCTGGTCTCCTCTCCACTGTAAAATAAAACACGTTGGAGGACTGTGTCATACAATAGTCCCCTGACACAGGTTGGTCTGGAACTGTAGATGAGACTGAACCATTTTTATAGCACAGTTCCAGATCACTGTAAAAAATTGGTTCAATCAGATCCACACTGCAAGACCGGAACAGTTTGGATGGGCTGCTTCGTTGTAACTGCGTCCTTCAACACAGTTAAAGGTTATGGTGCAGGTAGGACTTGAGGCTCTGTCTACAATAGCAAGACAAGCATGTTTGAGTGATTCTTGCTGGCAGGTTGCTAATGGCTTCCTAGCCAATGTGCACAGAGTGAACTACTGACTCTTTCACAAATCTTCGCTAACATTTGTTTCACACAAACATAAAGGCAAATACATAAAGGCCTAGTGATTGGTTAAAGTCAGAGACTGGAGAAGAGGTCTGCATGGTGCAAAGTCGGAACCGCTTGGAGGACACCAACAAGAGACCTCTCTTCAAAAATGTCTGAGCTCAGTGCTTTATGAAATAGCAAGTGTACTGCAGTCTGGGCACACACATGCAGCATTCAGGAAGAAAAGTTAACTATTCTGAATATTCTCCTTGCTTGGTTGTGATACCTTACCTCTGGTAACATTGTATGCTCTTCAAATAGGGACTGTGAGAGAGATGGCAGAGATGACTCCAGAGCAAAATTCCTATTGACTTCAATGGAGCCAGGATTTCACCCTAAGTGTAGTATCACTGTGGTGAACAGATGGTAACTACTGATGCAGGATAGCTGAAGAGCCTGTCTCTTAACATAATAAGAGACTAACTGAATTTAAATGGAATTGTCTTTACTTGTGTCTCCTGCCCAGGATTCAGAAGGTAGCTGGCCTCAAACATAACTATGTAAGTTTTGTTTGGTCTTAATTACTCTAACAGTGCTGCTGGAGGAGTGAGGAAGAGGAGCAAGGAAGAGGAGCATAAGAACAGGACATGGGAAAAAAGGAAATTAGCTATTGATCTGTTTTTTTCGCATTCCTCTGGGGATGAGTCTTAAATGCTGGTGAAGAGAATAATATAACAAACAAAGCCACTGTGGAGATCAAAGCTGGAAAACCCAAGCTAAATCCTACGTACAGGTTATTGTAAAACCATTTGTGGAACTCATTGCTAGGGGATATTGTGAAGGTCAAAAGTATAACTGGGGTCAAAAAGGAGCTAGATAAGTTCATGGAGGATAGGTCGATCAATGATTTAGTTGGGGTTGGTCCTGCTTTGAACAGGGGGTTGGACTAGATGACCTGAGATCTCTTTCAACCCTAATCTGCTATGATTCTATGACTGTTAGCCAAGATGGTCAGGGACGCAACCCTATTCTCTGGGTGTCCCTAAGCATCTGACTGCCAGAAGCTGGGACTGGATGATGGGATGAATCACTTGATAATTGCCCTGTTCTGTTCATTCTTTCTGAAGCATCTGGTACCAGCCACTGGACTAGATGTACCCATTGGTCTGACCCAGTATGGCTATTCTTATGTTAACTGAATCACACATGTGTAGCAAAGCCAGGGCTTGGGCAAAAGGAAAAGCCTGAATAGTTTTTAAAGGTCTTCTATGGCCGAGTAAACACGAGTGACTTCAAAATGTATCTTCACTCTATATGATCTAGCTGTTTCCAAGCATCATCTTCATGCCAAGCTATTGTTTTCCTCACAATAATGCTGTTTGCTTTGCTGGGTATGACAGAAAAGCCTCTGTACTCTGCTGTTCTGGGAGACAGGGCCATTACTGGCTCAGTCTGGAGAGCTTCAATATTTTGTGTCCTTGGTGGTTTCTCTCTATGCATATGTGTTTCAGATTTTATCTTTTCCTCCGATCAATAACTGAAGTTATTGATGCCGACTTCCCCTCTACCCGGAGGGTGCTCACCCCCCCACACCCTCACTTCTTCCCTTCCTCTAAGCCCCCACCCCATCCCACCTCTTCCCATCCCCGCTCCACCCTCGACCCCATCCCTGCTCCACCCTCGACCCCGTGCCCACTCCACCGCTTTCCGACCCCATCCCTGAGCACGCCCCAGCCCCTCTCCTCCCAGTGCCTCCTGCAAACCATGGAACAGCTGATTGCAGTGGGCAGGAGGAGTTGATCAGCAGGGCTGCTGGAGGCGAGAGGTGCTGGGGAAGAGGGGAATTGGCTGCCAGTGGGTACTAAGCACCTGCTATTTTTTTCCCCGTGGTCGGCGCCTATGACTGGAGTAAGTGCTGTTTTGGGTCTGTAACTGGTCTCTCCCACGGCATCCATAGGTCACGTGGAAGCACTGGAAGTTTTTTTTGTTTCACTGCAACATTTTGGTCAGCTTTGTGCTCTGTTTGAGTATTAAAACCTATGCTTGCAAGCACGGAGATTCTAGCAGGTCTTTTCCCCCCTTTACAATCCTGCTGTTGCTGTCCGTCTCTTTCCTCTTTTTTCAGCAGGCCCAGAATGCTCCCGTTCAGCAACTTATGACCCTTTATCTTTGCATTCCATAAGAATGTCAACTCTTCTAATAACGTCTGATGGGGATCACACAAACTGTGGCCAAAGTTTAATATTCAAACACACTATGAGTTTTAACTCTGGTCTATGAAAGACTCAAACAAGGCAAACTACTCTGATCCTCATTTGGAGAGTTCTTTGTGGACTTCACATCCACTTGTTTTCTCTCTTCTTTAATCTCTTGGAGTCCTACTGCTGATACCACATCCCAGGCGTTGCTTCTCCGCTCCAAAAAAAGTTTGGCTGTATTGAAACACTTTGTACTTCACTGAGAACAGGACTGAAGCTGACACAACTTTATTTGACATTTTAGACTGAGATATTTTCAAGCTGCCTATGGGATCTGGATGCTCAACTTCCCATTAAATGTTTTGGGAGTTAATAAATTGTTTCAGCTTCAATCCAGTTCTCAGCAAAGCACCAGAATCAGGATATGGAATCAGCTAATTAGTGGGAACTGGAAGTCCAAATCCTCCAGGTGGCTTTGAAAAACTTAGCCTTAATATTGTGCACCATTCTCTTCTCCTCCCTTGCTATGGAAAATCAACAGTCTCTGGCGCTCAGCTGTAATGCTTTCTTCTTTGCCCCTCAATCAGCCCCTTGTGATGACAGTGCTTCCTGTGGTACCATCTGCCTGCTATTCTGACAGATTCTGTAGGCCAGGCTCCTTGTACACAAATGTCCAATTGACCTAAATTCTGCTGAAATGCCTGTTCATTCTGCAGTACCCCAGTGCAACAGACTGGCGAGTCAGTGGCATCTTTAAGTAAGTTTTTAAAGGGCTAGAGGCTGCTCTTGAATTAAATATGAAAATGAATAATACAAGCAGAACCTTGTCCCTTGTGTGGCCTTGATATTACATTCAATTTTATGCTGTTCCTACATTTGTCATTTTCAATGTGCTACAGAATTTTGTACTGCAAACATATAAGTGCACTGCAGGGGTTGTCTGAGGCAGGCTGGAAGTTTAGGCCGCTGGAAAAGGGGAAGGCAGTTTGCAATTACAGGATAAGCACATTAGCTGTATGTTCGTTAAAATCATCCACAGTGAAATGGTCAAGTGTTGACATTTAAATTGCCCCCATTTGATTTCTAAATTAACATCCCCTGGAGATGAATGGGACAGTCACCACCAGGGAGACTCCACTGCAGCTATTTAATTGGGTTCACAGTTGGAAGGCTTTCTTTGCAATGATCAGGGCTACAAACGTATGTATTTATTTACTTTTAATCAAAGCTGGAGAGCAATTCTGTGGCCAGGGCTGGATTCTGCAATGTTGCACAATCCATTTCTTCACCTAGCTTCCCAAGTAACCCTTCCTCAAATGGCGGAAAGGTAGAGAGAGCCGTACAGAGATCTGCTTGTGTCCACTTTGTGTTCAAGTTGACCAGATGCCACCGTGCCAGTGGACTCGGCAGAAGAGCAGAAAGAGATGTAAGCTCTGCAGCACTGCTTCTTGGCACCCCTACCGCCTCTGCCAGATTTAGATTTCTCTACATGATGTTGCTGTATGGCCAGTGTCTCAAGTTTATGGCCGATGCTGGTTGTATTCAAATGCAACAGCAATGGATCAAATATGGATCTGGGCCTCCTACAGAAATAAAACACAGAGCAGATTTTTGAAGTTTGAAATTTTTTTCCGAGCTCCTTGGCTTTTAATTCTAGTTCTAGTTGTTGGGGCTTCTCTCAGCTCAAGGCTTGGGGGAGGGGGACCTTTTTGGTGAACAGGAAAAAAGTAACTTCATCTTCTGCCATCTGTGAGATGAGAGGGACTCCAGCCTTAAAATGCATCGTTTTAATGAGTCTACATCACTGATCCTTCCCATTTTGTTGCACCACAGAAACCAGGAGAAACCTTCCTATACCCCTCGGAGCAAATGGGAGAGAGGGAGGTTGACAGAGTGGGTTTGCCTTGCAGCAGTGTTGAGGCTGTCTTGCCTGTTAGAGCATGTCCATCTACTGTTCAAGGTCGATGGTGCAGCTTGTGGCCAACTTTGGGGTTGGGCTCTAAGTACTGTAGCATTGCAGAAGGCTGCAGAGTGGGGTATTGCTCACATGTAATCTGTTCTCAGTTGGCGGGATGCTGTTTGCTTTACACATTTAAGGAGAGACTTAGGGAAACTCCTGAACAGAGAGAATGTTTGCTTGTAGGTTTTTCAGCATCCCTTGGAATTGCTTTGTAGGCAAGGAAGTGTAAGCTTGTTATATAGTGTAGTACAGTGTCTTATAAAGAGGATGAAAAAGCTCAGGGAATCCTAACATTTCTAGGATCCCAGCTTCTCTGTATCTCACTCCCTGCTTAGAACAGGTATCTTGATATTACTGGAGACTGAAGTCTCTTTCTCTGTCCATAGATGCTCAGTTCTATTTTTTATTTATTTATTTTTTTGGTGGTGGCCCCAGTGTCCACCGTCACTCTCATGCATACCTACAAACGTAGGTTTGTGCACACAATGCGGTATTAATGTCAGGGTTGAGATTTTAAATGCACAGATCAGGAAATTCAAAGTTAGATGTGCTTCACAGCAAACCCTAACATCAACAGATAACATCGACGTTAGCATAATTTGACTACACTGCACATGTACAGATGGTATTAAATTGATTGTATACAGTAACACAGTACTACGGACCAAGAAGATGTCTGAGTCAAGATTACTGTGGGAACCATAATTTTGAACTTCCTGACTCCTGTGTAGTTTAAAATCTTGTCCTTAGCATTGAATTAACGGTTATGAAGACTCTCCGCCAGGTCTCTCTGAAAACAAGAGGTGACTACTGTGCAAATGAGGGAAGAGCATTTGCTCAAGTCATGGCTTGGTTTCTAACCACAATACATTGGTAATATGTAAGGGGTATGGAATTTTCTTTGGGTTCTCTTCAAAAGGCCTCCAGGGTTTGTAAAAAAGTATAATTACCTTAAAATCTGCCCTGTAGCTAGTCTCTTGCACAAAATGATCTTCTGGAATAATGAAGCCTTGCTTTGTCTTTATGGGCTTCGACGGTTTGGCTCCGGTCCATGGACGATACTCCTGCCTGAAACAAGTTGGTAAAAACAGAAGGACCCAGAATACAGAATTAGTGCAGTGTACAGACAGCAGGCACCTCTGCTCAATGTGAGAGCAAATAAATACAAAAGGTAAGTTTGGGAACTGCTTACTTATAATTAGGGTGACCAGACGTCCCAATATTAGGGGCTTGTCTTATATAAGACTCCCCTCTGTCCTGATTTTTCACACTTGTTGTCTGGTCACCCTACTTATAATTTCCAACACAGTTAAATCAAACCAGTCTGCTAAGTCCACTTTTACTCCAACACCTAATAAAAGTAGACTCCCGAGCCAGCTCTGCATGCTGTATTCCTTAAAAAGCTGATGCTCAATGAAGGGTATAGAACAGCCTAGATGGACTAGGTCTGACTGCACTAGTTTCATCCTATACCTACTTGCTGGAGCTTTCATTCTCCCTTTTAGAGCCGCTTGCTGATTTCCTCCTGGAAAAAGTTGTTTTTCCTGCCTCGAGCATCTTGATTCTACACCTCAGCCCCATAGCGTTTCACTTGCTTTCAATGAATGATTTTCTTAATGTTTCTTTATCTGGTTTTACCCCTCTTGGATGCAGTCACATCTGCCAGTGTGCAGTGTTCTCCCTATTCATGTGTCAAAGCTGCACCTCCTCTTTGCCTCATTATGGATTATCTGATGTTTCAGCCGTTATTTTCATGTGGCTAAGAGGTTGGAAAGCTTGGCTCATTAAGACTGAAGGAGAGGAAGGAAAAGGTTGTGTGAGCATGGAGTATGGCTGTGTTTGATAAGATGGGTGCAGCGGCTGCCATACCTTGCTTGCAGTGTTCAACCGGGTTCAAAAGTGGCTATTACGGTGTCTGGCTTATCCAGTAATTGGCCCTCCACCATGGTCCTCTGCACCTTTGTCACAGGGTTAACTAGTGCTCTCAATTAGGCCATTCTGGAGCCTTCAGAAGTAGCCAAATGTGTCTGCTTGTTTGGAATAGGATTAAGGGAGTCTGCTGTGTGTCTTCTGCTGTAATAATGGGAGATAGCTGGCCAGCCCCAATTGTGTGTCTAAGTGTAGAAGTGGCAGATAAAGGTTTATAGGTGATTGGAACACTACATAACAATGAATGGTGATGGGAAAAGGTACAAAAACGGAGACAGACTGAATTAGCCCAAACAAAAAGGGCTACCGATATAACTCATGGACTATGCTGAGATTGTGCCTGGTAAACAAAGGAGTGGGAAACTGGAGATCAGTGGACCAAAAATTGGTGGGTCAGAAATTAAGCCTGATTAGTCCATCCTCACATTATTTTATTCACCATTCTGCTCATCACCTCTGGTCTTGTGTGTCCTGTGTATCCTGATCAATACATCACCAAACTTTGGCATGGATTTTCTAATGGTTTTTGCCATGATATTAAGCAGGCCAAGGTGTCTGTACTCAAAACTCTGAGCCTTGCTGAACTATTTAAAGTTGTACAGTGACACGGTCATGGACTCTCTGGGCCCATTTATTCTATCAAAATCAATTCAACAGTCTTAAGCAAAAATTATGCTAACTGCTACTGCAGCAAAGGCTACAGTTCAGAGTCTTAAGCCGTGTCTGGACTTGGAGAATAGATTGTTTTTTACCAGGGTTTGATCACAACCAACCAACTCTTTTTTTTCAACATGACTGCCCTGTTGATATTAGTTGGGAAGTGCTGTTTAAAATACTGATAGTTAAAATGCATTGCTAAAGCTTTGTCTAGACTGGGATTTAAAGGTGTGTTTTTAAAATGTGTAGACTTATCTTGCTCAGCTAAGCATGTGATTAAAATATACACTGCCTGGTTCTACACTAGACTTTTAAATCTAGATACAGCCTTAAAACACTACATGTTTTCCTAGTCTCAGCATGCTATAAAGCTTTAGGGTCCAGGGTACTTCAGTGCTTTGCTATCCTATGTTTCACTGCTTGGCGGATATTCAGATGAGGTGACTGCAATGAGTTCTTAAGTCTGTTCAGGACCAGTGATGGGTCTCGTTCGATAGAGGATCCTGAGGTATACAACTCCGTTCCAGGAAAGGCATACCTAGGTCTGTGGAATACAAGCTTAAGAAATCTCTGTTTCCAAACCCGTGCTTGAGTGTCCACACTGTCTTGTAAACTTAAGCTTCCAATTGCTGGACCCATGTCTCACAGCCATGCTAATGCATCCATGCTACACTACCCAGACCTTCTGACTTGGGTCGGGCTTGAGCTGCCTACAGACTGCAAAGTGACAGGTCTTGGACCCAAGTCACAGTGGGACTCAAGCTCTGACCAACCCTCCTAGTAAGGTCCTAGGACCTGGGTCCTAAGTGCATGCTGACCTGAGTCAGACTGATGTAGTGACACTAAAGGAGGTTTTGGAATTAACTGAGAAACTTAACAGTAACAAGTCACTGGGACCAGATGGCATTCACCCAAGAGTTCTGAAAGAACTCAAATGTGAAATTGTGCAACTATTAACTATGGTTTGTAACCTGTCCTTTAAATTAGCTACTGTACCCAATGACTGGAAGATAGCTAACGTAACGCCAATATTTAAGAAGGGCTCTAGAGGTGATCCTGGCAATTACAGAGCAGTAAGTCTAATGTCAGTACCTGGCAAATTAGTTGAAACAATAGTAAAGAATAAAATTATCAGACACGTAGAAGAACATAAATTGTTGCGCAAAAGTCAACATGATTTCTGTAAAGGGAGATCATGTCTTACTAATCTATTAGAGTTCTTTGACGGAGTCAACAAACATGTGGACAAGGGGGATCCAGTGGACACAGTGTACTTAGATTTCCAGAAAGCCTTTGATAAGGTCCCTCACCAAAGGCTCTTACATAAATTAAGTTGTCATGGGATAAGAGGGAAGATCCTGTCATGGATTGAGAACTGGTTAAAAGACTGGGAACAAAGAATAGGAATAAATGGTAAATTTTCAGAATGGAGAGGGGTAACTAGTGGTGTTCCCCAAGGGTCAGTCCTAGGACCAGTCCTTTTCAACTTATTCATAAATGATCTGGAGAAAGGGGTAAACAGCGAGGTGGCAAAGTTTGCAGACGATACTAAACTGCTCAAGATAGTTAAGACCAAAGCAGACTGTGAAGAACTTGAAAAAGATCTCACAAAACTAAGTGACTGGGCAACAATTTAATGTAGATAAATGTAAAGTAATGCACATTGGAAAAAATAACCCCAACTATACATACAATATGATGGGAGCTAATTTAGCTACAATTAATCAGAAGAAAGATCTTGGAGTCATCGTGGATAGTTCTCTGAAGACGTCCACGCAGTGTGCAGCGGCAGTCAAAAAAACAAACGGGATGTTAGGAATCATTAAAAAAGGGATAGAGAATAAGATGGAGAATATCTTATTGACCTTATATAAATCCATGGTATGCCCACATCTTGAATACTGCGTACAGATGTGGTCCCCTCATCTCAAAAAAGATATACTGGCATTAGAAAAGGTTCAGAAAAGGGCAACTAAAATGATTAGGGGTTTGGAACGGGGCCTCTATGAGAAGAGATTAAAGAGGCTAGGACTTTTCAGCTTGGAAAAGAGGAGGCTATGATAGAGGTATATAAAATCATGAGTGGTGTGGAGAAAGTGAATAAGGAAAGTTATTTCCTTGTTCCCATAATATAAGAACTAGATCTCATCTAACCTGATGCAAAAAATAAGTTACAAAGGTACTACACCTGATCAACCAAAGCCCCCTGCTAATTGGTGTCTTTTTACATCCACATTTGCCTATTTTAAAAAATGTATTTCTTCTTCCTGTTCCTCTGGGGAAAACCCATAAGTACAATCACAGAAATGTGAGATGTTGCCGTTTTCATAGTGTAATAATACTGTAATGATAAATAATAATTAATAAATATTGTGTAATAAGCATGTCATAAAAACAAATTTTATATTTCCAAGATCACTCCTTTTATAATTTATACTCAGGTAAAGGAGAAAATCCCTGGAAATATTAATTTTTAGGAGGGGGTTCGTGAGACTTGACATTTTAGTGAAAGGGGTTCACAGGTTGTTAAGGTTTGGGAACCACTGCGCTACAGTATATAAAAATTAAAAATGCTTAAAAATAAACATGGATATTATCCATCAACACTATAAAAAATAAAACTCAAATTCTGCCAACCCTATTCTTGTCTCATTGGTACATCTAATTATCTGGGCTATCATGTGGTAGAACTACCTGATCTAGCATGAATGATTGCAAATCCAGACCAGAGTTTCCTCAAGCAAAGTTTGATTGACACACTCAAGAGAGCAGAAATCTACTGGCTAAGCCACTGCAATGTGACAGTTGACATACACTCTCTGCAGCCTCTAGTCTGTTAGGTTTTTTTCCCCCCAAGTTAAACTGAAAACACTGACATGCTGGTAGGTGATCTCTTGTGACAGATCCGTAAGGATATTAACAGTCATGTTCACTACAGTAGTGCCTGGGACCCATCTCAGGTCCCAACCCTAATGTGCTAGGCACTGCACCATCACAGACTTGCAGACAGTCCCTACTTCAAGAGTTAACAGTCAAAACAGACACACCACACAAAGGGTAGGGGAATGGGCAATGGTGAGCTGGAGCCGGTTCGCACAACTGGTTGTTAAAATTAGAAGCCGGTTTAGAACCGGTTGTTAAGGGTTGGGCAAACTCCGACCTGCCTGAGCTCCCGGCTGGGGAAGCTCCCCTTGAGAATCCCTTTTTACTCACCCGGCGGCACTCCAGGTCTTTGGCAGCACTTCAGTGGCGGGTCCCTCCGGAGACCCGGAGCGAGTGAACGACCTGCTGCTGAAGTGCCGCCGAAGACCCAGAGCAACTGAAGGAACCGGTTCTTCAGATTTTGGCAGTTCATCACTGGGAATGGATATAATATACAGTGCATGCTCAGCTCCCAGGAAGCAGCCTGCCTCCTCGATGACTAGAATTAGAGCTGGTTGGAAAAAAGGGAGGACATTTTGCAAACACTTTTTGAAGCACCC